GCGAAAGGCTCTTGATGATTCCAATTTAACATGGTAAAGGCAATAGTATGAATGAGATAACTGTGGGTCACCGAATTCGGTCCTTGTATGAAAGCGATATAATTCAGTGGACTACCCGAAACCCCGGACACGGAGCGTATATGGGTCACTTATTTAATTCTAAGAAATTAGCATACAATACAAAAACTGTTAACAAAGGAATTACTGAAAAATTGTGTATAGGACGAACACCCTAATGCGGTTTAAAAGTTTCAATGAATTTTAAGAGAGATTAATGTCGTCTGCTATAACTCATTAATTGAGGCTTCACCATCAAATCAGAAATATCTAACAATGGGCAACAATGAAGACCCCTCTTAAGGGCGGGTCGGCCTTCCAAGTTAATATACCATTAGAAAAATGGTCACCGTGAGTTTCTTAGGGTGTATTTGCCATCGAGAAGCAGCAGGCTCACAAAATAATGAACAATTAGTTAACCAAAAGTCGCCGCCATCTACTCTCGTTCAGCTCGCAGCTTTAAGTCAGTATTCTTAATGCACTACAAGAACGCTTCCAAAGAGTGCTTTCGTTACAGCCCTTGCCAAAAATACAAATACTTCAATCTTTATCTTGTCTGTGCTTTTGGATAACGTCAATGTAGCTCTTATCAATAGTAGCGGTTCTGATCAAAATCAGGAGCAACAAAGGAAACGTCAGAAATGATGAATGAGACTATAAAGCTAGATAACGTGAAGAAAGATAGCTCTGAATATTAAGAAAGTTTAGACTAGGACAGCCTATGCTTCTTTGTCCATCTGAATGTGCGCAGTTTAACTGATTTACATATTTTTAAACCTAATTAAAAGAACAAGTCGCGAACTTACAATAGCTTGCTTAGTTCCAGATTTCAGGTACTCGTATGAAAAGTATTTTCAATATACTAGATACTTCTATATTATGTACCCTATCCAAGCACTGTCAAACAGCACTAACATGAACGTTTAGCAGTTAGTACGTGGTCCATCTACTTATATTTGGGCAAAACTCAGCTTCAAAAACCAACTTATTTATTTTTATTTAAATAAAATTTTTCAATATGCTTAGACTACATTAATTGAATGCTCTTTCTAATGGATTATTGCCGGTCAGACTTTTCCTTTTTATACACATTTAGTTTTCCAAATTTTTTATTGATTTTATATCATTTTATTTTATTTTAATTCCCTCTATTCGCTTTTTTCTATGCTTCGATTCCTTTCTTTCTTTATAAATATCAAATGTTGACTATTTTCTATGAAATACTTTCTTTTTGTTCAAATTCCTTTAGAGATGTTTATATTTAAAATTCCACATATTATACTTACTCTATCATAATCAAGACTTTCCTAATAAATAAATGCAAAATAGCATTAGCTTTAGCCACTCCAGTAATACCTATACTGCCTTTTTCCTTCCTTTATTTACCCATTTGTCTTTTCCACAGACAAAAATTGTCTTACCGATGGCTTTAACACACTCCCTTTGCCTAGCCGGCTGTTCCCTGGTGGCCAGCAGGCTTGGACAATTGTGGCCGATCGTGCCCTTACACGCGGTCTCGAGGACGGTGCTGTCTTTCAATTACGTCGCCGCTCCTACCCAGTATTTGCTGCTCCTACCACTGTCTCTGCAACTTCGGCCTCCATTAGTTCCACAACCTTGGTGCGGGGTGCTCAGGAGATATCACGGGAGGTTTCTCTTCTCTGTACAGTTCATCGACTACCCTTGCTTCATCTTGTTGAGGAAGTTCTTGAACCATTGGAATCTGGGCGATTTTTTCTGAGGACCGATACAGCTATTTAAACAGCTGATAGTCATTAGCTACTATCACTGCGATTTCCTTTCGCCTATTCTTTATTATGTTGTTTTTCTAATAAGCTCATTGTACGCCTGACAGAAATGCTTCGCATTTTCCCCATATATGCATGTTTCCGCGATCCCTCTAAATATTTTAATTAGCCCTTGTCAGCATTTACTTGCACTTATTATTGTGCCCCTTTCCTAATCAATTTTCCTACTCGGCTACTCCATTATCTTCCAATATTTGGCGATCTTTGTCAATGACCTGAGCCGTTTTAACACCACAAAGTCCCAAATCGTTGATCCCATTTTTATTTACTGCACAATTATCATCACAAGTTTTAATCGGCATCTAAAGAATAGTATTAGGTTGACATTTTTTTATTTTTATCCACACACTAGCATTTGCAGATTATTACATGAGTATAATACAATTTAGGCATGATTATTAATCAACATAGATATTTCATCTTACGGTCTTCCACTCCTTAGTAGCCGTTTACTTTCTCAACATGTCTTTATTTGGGGTCTTCAAGACAGATGATAAATGGTCAGCAAAGGAAGTGTAGATTTTGTATGTTCTATATCATTAATTATGACAAAAAGCATTC